GGGCCCGAGACTCAAACCGCGGTCGGCTACGTGGGAGTTCAGTGGCATAGCCATTACGCTAACCGCTGGTCCCATCATAGGCAGACTTTTAAAAAGAGAATATAGGAAGACACTATAAAGTAAGAAAATTGATAATGAGTTTTGAGGAACTTTACCACTTAAAGAACAAGTGATGCAAAGATGAACCAAAAAAAAAAAAAAAGAAGATCAGCTCTAACTAAGTAGAAGGAAAACCAGGAAAGAATTGTGTCTTCTAGCCAAATGCTACCAAACAATCAATCAAGTAAAATGAAGACTAAAATGCCCTTTGATTTAGTGCCATGCTGATCATTTGTAACTTTAGCATGTTATTTCAATAAAATATTATGACAAAAATCAGATTGGAATATGTTGAAGAGCAAGTGAGAGGGGAAGAAAAGGAAATGGAGGGAATTAGCATGCATGGACAGTTCTCTCAAACTTTGATGGTGAATAAAAGAAATAGAGCTATAGAATAGGAAAATGGGGTTGGGAGGGATGATTCATTTATTTATTTTTAAGATGGGAGAGACTTGATCATCTTTTTTTTTCTTTTTTTGAGAGGTTTTTGCTATAGGACGCATGCACTCACGAGAAAGACAGAGAGACAGAAAGCGAGAAATCACCCCCCAGTGGGGATGGCCATGCTGCAATCCCTTCTCTTCCATTTTCCTCTCAGGATCTTGGGCATGCACGCACATGCCCCCGACATGAATTTAAGCCACCAGGTCCAGGACTCAAACCGCGGCCGACTACATGGGAGTCCAGCAACATAGCCATTACGCCAACTGCCAATTCCAAGACTTGATCATATTTTAATCTTAATAGGAAGGATCCTGGGCCTGGCCCCATGGCCTAGTGGTTAAGGGAGCCAGATCCCACATTGCCAACTGTAGTTTGAATCTAGGCCCTGGCAACTTAAAAGCTATGCTGGAAGCTTGAATGTGTATGCCTCAATTCCCAACAGGATGGAGAAATGGAGAGGGGATTGTGGTGTGATCACACCCTGTGAGAAAGCGTTTTCTCCCTCTCCCTCTTTGTCTCTCTCTGGCAAGCACACATGCCCTCTATCAAAAACAAAACAAAAAAAAGAATCCTATACAAAGAAACTGTAGATATATCCAGTCATCAGGAAAGTCATTACGCATTTTTGCATAGAAAATGTGGAAAGATAAGTCATAACTTTCCCAATGACCTAATAGAAGAAAGAAGTGAGAACAAATAGAGTAAGGTTCATGAGGAGGTAATAAGAATAGGAAGCAGAACAGCTCTTCTTTTATTATAGAAGGGAATGGTAGAAGATGCTTGCTTATGTACTTTGGTTTAAGATCCATCTCCCTTTGACTGTTTTGGGGTTTTATTACATTGCTTCTTCCCAGAACCCTAAAGTATTTCATTATTCCTGATAATTTACTATCTTCTTTCTTGTGTTATTTCCTACTGTTTCAGTCTCTAGACTTGTTTTTCTCAACTTGATTGTAAACTCGAATATGGAGATCATATTATATTTTCATATACCCTTATATTACTTAGCCTAGTGTTGAGTTTTTTGTGTTTTTTTTAAGAAGTTTTTTTTTGCTATAGGACACGTGCGCTTGCCAGACAGACAGAGAGAGACAGAGAGACAGAAAGCGAGAAATCACCCCCCAGGGGGGGTGGCCATGCCGCAGTTACTTCTCCTCCATTCTCCTCTCGGGGGGATCTTGGGCATGCGCGTACACGCACCCGGCGTGAATTTAAGCCACCGGGTCTGGGACTCAAACCGCTGTCGACTACGTGGGGGTCCAGCGACATAGCCATTACGTTAACTGCTGGTCCCGCCTAGTGTTGAGTTTGTTTTCTAAAAAAAAAAATAAATGCTCAATAAGAACTCATTCAGATGCTTAGATAAAAGGGACAGGTCATCTTCCAGGTAATAGTTACTCACATAATGCTAATTGTACTTTTATCATTGAATCATCAACCCTGATGTTCTCTGTAATACCTAAGCTCTGCCTTAGATTTCATAGGCATTGAGTAAAATTACCTATCTGCTAATTGCAGTGATTTCACTGCCAACAGATAAGTAGCTTTTGATTGGTGACTAACTGATTAGTTTTCTTTGCTTCTCCCAGGTACAACAGCTACAGGTCATGTTGCTACAAGCCCACGGAGGTACCCTGCCTGGATCTATAAAGTAAGAATTGTAGATTAATTTTAAATGTGTATTCTAGCAGAGGTTATTTCTTCTGATATAGATTATCACTTATTCCAAATACTTGGGACCAGAAGTGTTTTGTTTTCCATTTTTTGTTTGTTTTTATTTGGTTTTGGTTTGTTATTTTGGAATGTTTGCATATACATAAGATAGCTTAGATATTGGACCCAAGTTAAACACCAAATTCATTTATGTTTCTTATACATCCTATACAAATAGCCTAATATAATTTTATACCATGTTTTGGTATTGCAGTATGTTGGCTGTAGTCCATTACATGAGGTCATATGTGGAATTTTCCACTTGTAGTGTCTGGTGCTCAAAAGTTTCAGGTTTTGGAGTATTTCAGATTTTAGGTTTTCAGGTTAGGGATGCTCAACCTATAGTTGTTTTCCCCTCATATACTAAAGTTTCTAGAGCTCTTGGTATCGAGGTGTAGGGATCCTTCCAACCTTGCTAACTATTCAGTACTTAGCTAGTTTTGGTGGTGGTGGTTGTGGTGTTTTCTTGTTTGTTTTTTGGGGGTTTTTGTTTGTTTGTTTTTAAGATATATTTGCTATAGGGTGCATGCATTCATGCATTCTCTGAAGAGATAGAAAGTAAGAAGTCACCCCTGGGAGGATGTCCATGCCACAATCCCTTCTCCACCATTTTCCTCTCAGGATTTTGGGCACACACGCACATGCGCTCAGTATGAGTTTTAAGTGCTAGTTCTACCTGCTGTCCCTTAGCTAGTTATTTTTGAAGTAGCCTAATGCAATAGAACATGAGTCTGGCCTCAGACTCAGTGTATTAATTGGAATTCTACTGTGAGGAAAAATGTCTTTTCTCCCCCATTTACTTATTTTACTATTTATATGTGTATAGATATTTATTTCATTCTATGGATTAATATCCAATACTGTCATTTGTTTTATTGCCTAATTGTTCCTTCTTTCTCCATTAGGAGCTCCTCAGGTTGAATCTTGTGCTTAACAAATCCTCAAGTTTTCGAGCCTTGCCACAAAGATATTCTATCTTATATTTTCCCTACCTTGGTTCTGGAATCACCTTTATCTCTAAGGAGCCCTGGTTTCTGTTGGGAAGTGGTGTTTAGAAACAGATATTGGGTGTTAGCACTAGCTGTGTTCATTGTTACTTAGATATCACTATTTCGAGGCCTTCTCAGTAGGTAGAGCTTGAAGTATCTGCATGCAACCCACACATATACTCTCATCTGTATTTATCTATCTAACTGGACATATATTAAAACATGATTTTATACTGATTCCTGTGATTCAGTTCCAATACTACATAGTCCATTTTTGCCTTCCTCTTCTTATTTATTGGGTTGTCAGAAAGGTCATGACGTATTTTTCTTTGACTTTTCCGATGACCCCAAAATAACATCTTTAATAATTAGAAACCCATCTGTCATTATCTGAAACTTATTTACTAACTTTTTAAATTTTAGTGTACACATAAAGTAGTTTTAGAATTGCTAGCCCATACCCCTAATAGAAACATTTTTTATGAAAAAGCATTCTCATTTATGTACAGTTCTTTTTATCTTTAAGTGTAGAATATCCAGGCAACATGACTGTTTCTCACAGTTCATATTGCACTTTGGGTCCCCTCTAAATCTTGGGTAGTTTTAATTGTTCATATTTTAGGTATGTGAAATATTTTAATGAATCTAAGAGAGTTACACCAGAAGATTTACTTAAGGCAGAAATATGCAAACGAATACCCAGTGATATATCACCTCACCTCTATTAGGTTAGCTACTATAAAATAAATCAATAAATATAAAAATAAAATAGCGAGTGTTGGCAAGGATATGAGGAGATAATAGAAATTGGAACCTTTGTGTAGTGTTGGTAAGATTGTTAATGGTATAACCACTATGGAAAACTGTGTGGGTTTTTCAAAAAAATAAAAATAGACCTACCATATGTCCACTAATCTCATGTCTAGGTATATATCCAAAAGAATTGAAAGCAGGGCCTCAAAGAAATAGTTGCAGAACCATGGTCATAGTGGCACTGTTCATGATAGCTAAGAGATAGAAGCAATATAAATATCCATTAACAGATGAATTGATATATAAAATGTGATATATCCAAAGAGCCTTCAAAAACTTTTGGAGGGAACCAGCAGTTAGCATAATGGCTATGTCACCGGACTCCCACATAGTCGACCGCGGTCACGTCCCAGACCCGGTTGCTTAAAACTCACGCCGGGCACATGTGCGTGCATGCCCAAGATCCCGAGAGGAGAATAGAGGAGAAGGGATTGCGGCGTGACCATCCCCTCTGGGGGGTGACTTCTCACTTTCTGTCTCTATGTCTCTCTGTCTGTCTGGCGAGCACACATGCCCTATAGTGAAAACCTCTCCGGAAAAAAAAAAAAAAAAACTTTTAGAAAGATGGAAGTAAAGTATGAGTTTATTTTGATATAAAACAATTTTGAAATTCAGGCATTTTTTTTTCATGACATGTTTTTCATGAACTTTTTGAAGACCCTTGTACATAGAATAGAATATTATTCAGCCTTAAACAGGAAAGAAATCTTGTCATAAGTTACAATATGGATAGACGTTGAAGATATGCTGAGTTAAGTAAGCCAGTTATAAAAAGACAAGTATGGTATAATACCAGACCAGCTACAGTGGCATGGGTTGTAGCTAGGTGCTCTGCAGTGCTAGACATGGTCAATCATGGGTTCAGATCCCAAGTCAACCTGAAACACACCAGGTGTGTGCTTTTTTAATCATATTTTAAAAGAAAATGTATGGGACCAGCAGGTGGCATGGTGGGTAAAGGCACTGGATTCCCATGTGGTCGACTGAGGTTCAAGTCCTGGACCTGGCGGCTTGCTTTCTTGCTTTCCCTTTTTCTCTGTCTCTCTCTGGTAAAACATAAAATAATAAAAACAAATGAAATTAAATAAATAAAAAATTCTTTAAAAAAATAGAAAGTGTATGATTCCACTTATATGAGATCTGTAAAGTAGTAAAATTCAGAGACTGGGGAGGAGAGGTGTTGTTATTTAATAGGCATAGAGTTTCAGTTTTGCCAAGTTGTAAAAGTACTGAAGGCCCAGTTTATGTGACACTTTCAATAGCATAGTGAGCTACAGTGCTGGAAGCTACATGTCAACCACAGTTTGAATTCCTTGCCTGGTTGGCCTGAAAGGTTGAACAAGTGTTTGCATGCCCAGGATTCTGGCAGGCTAAAGGACTGGAGGAAGGAGATCATGGGGTGACCATGTATTGTGGAGTGTGCTTTCCTCCCACACTTCCCTTCTTCCTCACTCCCCATGCTTGCATACATTCTATAAGAACACCCCCTCCCGGGACCAGCAGTTAGCGTAATGGCTATGTCGCTGGACTCACACGTAGTCAACCACAGTTCGCGTCCCAGACCCGGTGGCTTAAACTCACGCCGGGCGCGTGTATGTGTGTGCCCAAGATCCTGCGAGGAGAATGGAGGAGAAGGGATTGCGGGGTGACCATCCCCCCGGGGGGGGTGATTTCTCGCTTTCTGACTCTGTCTGTCTCTCTCTGTCTGTCTGGCGAGCGCACATGCCCTACAGCAAAAACGTCTCAAAAAAAAAAAAAAAAAGAAAAAAAAAAAAGAGGTGAACAAAAAAGTTGTGGATATCTGTTATATAATGTGCAAAATACTTAACACTGCTAACGAACACACTTAAAAATGGTTAAGATGATAAGTTTTATGTTACGTGTTTTTTACCAGAGGTTTTTTTTTAGGGATTTTAAAGATAATTTTAATTTTTTTATTATTATTTAATTTGCTATATGGCACCTGTGCTCACCAGAGACCAACAGAGAGAGAGAGAAAAGACAAGCTTACAGGTCCAGACTCGAACCATGGTTGGCCATATGGGAGGAGTCCAGCAACTCAACCACCATGCCACCTGCTGGCCCCACCATAGTTTTTTTTAAAAGAAAAAAAAAGGGTATACTCAAAAATAGATACCATTCCCTCTTCATCACTACTCCCCTGTTCCCCTTACACCTTTATTTCCATCTGTTCTACCACTATTCTTCCTCTTCCTGCATTTGATCAATTTCCCTAATTTCTGATTTAGCCTTCCTGTATTTATTTTGTACACATGAGCAGGTGCTATGTAATTTCTCATATCTACTTCCTTCTTGTATGAATGGTAATATACTCTTTGTGGCTTTGCTTCGTTAATTATTTCCTGGAAATCATTTTTTTTTTGTCAGTTCAGAGACATCTTCCTCATTCTTTCCTACAGCTGCATACTACTCCCATGTGCAATACATATTAATTCGACCTCTCTCCTATTCACATTTAGGTTGTTCCCATATATTGCATTTATAAACGTGCTACGATGAATAACCTTGTGTGTATATATTTTTGTGTTCTTAGAGATTTATCTTTTTTTAAAAAAACAGCATTGAAAAGTAAGTGTATTTAACTATACTTAGCTCATAACACAGCAAATAGGTGAACAGAATAATAATTCATGACATACAGAATGTTTAATGAACTATAAATAGAGAAATTTAGACAAATAAAGGCAGAAGAACTTTGTCCTTTAAGAATTAGAACCGAGGGGCTCCATAATCTGACACCTACACAATATTGTATCTATGGTTAGAAATGTACATGATAGGAACTCCTGGGATCTTCTCTTTTTTTAGGTCTAGGTCAACTGTGGCCACAGTGTAACACTAGGGCTGAGTTACTCTCTGTACTAAGTAGTCATCTGCGTAGGTTCCTTTGTGTGTGCATGGTAATCATTCAAATCTTGGATCCTTGGCGATCCTTACAGCCACTCGATATTTTTGCCCCAATTTCTCAGTTTCCACCATTACATAGTCAGTTACATAAGGGATACACTTGGCGTACAGACAGTCCATCATTGACTGCACTATGTCCAGTTTGGCTTTAATGGAAAAGTTGAAAAGTAGGTATCAACCAGGATGTGGTAAGGTGGACCCAGCTGTG